ACACGAAGAGATGATTATTCGTAATTATATTCACATCAATTCATAGCTCATTTAACACCCTTTATGCAATGACTTATTCATCATTCCCTCACAAAGATCCGGAACATACTACGTAATACATAATTAATATATGTGCTGACATTAAAGAGAAATCCTCATGGATGTTAGGACGTAAAGACAGTCAATCAATTGTTCATCGATCTATATATTAAATACGTCAAATTTGTGATGCGGTAAACCATTTTCGCATTATACCTATGAGTTTCGCGGGCAAATGGTGGATCAATATCTCACCCCCACACGGACCTGAGCGGCATTCCCGATTGCCAAAGATTTACACAAAGTAATTTTAGTTTCGTAAGTGAAAAAATACGTTTTCACTTTTTGTTTTTTTCTCTCAGAAATTTGCAACTATTTTTTTGTATTTTTGTGACGTGTCATACATATCTTTATACAATTCTTAAAAGGAAGATTTTAAAGTAAGAATCACACAGAAGACAATACAAAGAATGATACAAACAGTGGTAATGAGAAATTGCAATTTTTAAAATTCTTATATATAAATTTGATATAACAGGCTTGAAAGCTTTGCTCATTCCAATTATTTATTCTTTTCTTCTTTTATGCATATTGCAATAATAATTTGTTATCCTTACACTTTCGTCGTGTTTCACATACGTACCCCTTTGTAACGCGTTGAATTTTTAGTTCCCGTTGTACGCGTAAAAAAGGAAAGAATAATTTTTGTTTAAAACAGTTTGATTGAATTGTGTACTTTCATCAAGCTAACAAATATTACTACGTAAAAACCAAAAGGGTAACATCATCTTTTCGGAATCGAGCGAGATAAAATTGGCAAAACGTTTCAGTGTAGTAATTGAATTTCCTTCGTGGGTGTCAAAATACCTCGTTCTGTAAACTTGGTTTTAAGACAAGTATAATGTGTTTACGAAGGTAATTAAGTAAAGTAGTTGTTGCATTGCTTTCAAAAATTCTTAAATTTTAGTATAAAAAATTTT